TTCACCTTATTGCATTATCTTTGGCTTGAACAGTTTAACCATCTCTTTTTGCCTGACTTGGTTTCATAAGACCATGTGAACCAGGTCAGTGTGCCACAAAGCTGGAGTTGAGTCAGCCTATCTGTCACCTGAGTAACTGATTAACTACCCACCACACATCCAAAGACAGAGCAAGCAAGAAACCAAGCAGAAAAGAACTCTCTGAATGGATTTTCAGCCACCATTTTAAACCAGGGTCCTATATTTTGTACAGCTCTCTGTATTCTTAACCAAAGGTCACACAATATGTTGTTAGCAAATGTTGAGGAACAAAATACCATGCTATTTTGTGAATAGAATCATATATATTGTGTTAGTTTGCAAAAATGTAAATGATTAGTTCACCCAGTAATGAAAATTGTTATTAATTCTTCACCCTCATGCCGTTTCAAAGCTCCGAGACCTTCATTCATCCTCAGAACAGAAAATAAGATATTTTAGATGAAATTTGAGAGCTCTCTCATCCTCTATAGAAAGAATTGATTATGAGAAGTTCAAGGACCAGAAAAGGAAACCAAAAACATTGCTGTCTATAGAGAATGAGGAAGATCTCAGATTTCATATAAAATATCTTAATGTGTGTACTAAAGATGAACGGACGTCTCTGGGCATTGGGTAATTAATAACAGAATGTAATTATTAATGAAACCTTTCAAAGTGTATGGCATAGAACGGAATGCAAAAACATAGCCAATAGCATGTGGTTAAAAGAAACACATTTCATCCAGTGACTGCAGTATTTTTCTCCTCTTGTTATGACAAACAAAATGTCTTTTTTGTTTTACCAAAGTTGCAAGTTTGTCACACGTTATTGGTAACATGGTCATCTATCATTGTTGTGGTTTACAACAGCCAGTTGCTATCAGATTTGCAGGTTTTTTAAACAAAATTAGCATAAAATTGGTAAGGAAACTGATATCACCCATTCATGCAAAAAAAAAAAAAAAACTAAGTATAAACTCAGGTTAAGCAGAGCGACAGACTCCAGTAAATTGGATTTGTGGAGTTAACATTAGACAGTGTCAGAAGTAAAAAATAAAATAAATAAAATTAATAAGAAAATAAATAAACAAATAAACAAACAATTCCATCTACATGTAGACAATAATCCTTGGCCTGTATAGTTGACAGTTCCACTGGATTAACCTACTACAGGACAGACAGGGGTCACCAAACCAAGGCCTCATAACGAGACACTAATCTTCAGGGCGCCTCAGGTCTGGAAGCAACTCACACTAGCCTTTTTGTTAAAACCCACAAGCACATTTAAGATATAATGAGTTAAACGTCAAAACATCTTGACAAACAGAGCAGTTTGAGGAGGGAAAATATTTTAACATTGCCATTACTTGCCCCATTTTCTAGCAAGAACTGTGTGTTCACGTTCCTGTCAGAAGAGCAAATATTTAAGTTTGGTACTTTGTTGTAGCAGATCCACTTTTAGGAATTAGCCGCAAACAAGAAAGAAAGAGTCAAATTTAGGCCACTGTCAAGCCATCCATCATATAATGCACAATTATTCCAAACTATGAGTAATCCAGACCCCAACAAGTCTGTATTTGGAAGGATAAGGATAGGTTTAAGGATAAACGTAGTGCACATGCTCACTACCGCTGTACCTATTTGACCCTAAACCTTTCTTTATTTCGACCCTACTCCAACGTATCTCAAATTTGTAAAAGTTACTGTAATCTTATAGAGATTAATACACCTCCCCCTTTGGAACAGCTAACAACACAAAATTCACAACAAAAAACAAAAGTAATAACAACAATTACACCTAACGGAAAGTAGAAAGTATTGAAATGGATAACAAAACTGTTGGATGGGACCTGGTTCCAACCATAAGCTGTTAATTGGATTAGAACAAAGTAGACATGCATGCCAATTTGTGACATTTTGATTACAAAATTCCTTCTTTATATTCAAAAACAATAATTACATTGAATTTTTACGAATGCCAACTTTTTGAACATTTTGAGACCAATACTCTGTTGGACCAATGGCGCAACTTCAAGAGTAATGGCCCCAATATAGTTCTTTGTTTGAGGGCAAAAAGTAGTTTGAAGAGCCTGAGTGATGGTATGCTGTTTATGAACCTTCCAACAATCTCATGCTGTAATAGGTGAGGTTGTAAATTTTTCAAGCTCGTAGAGGTCATGCTGTTTGTGTGTTCTAAACACAATGATGGTGGCTGCAACAAATGAACAGTTTCAATAAACATCTTGCAAACAGCCTACTCCAGAGAAGCGCCACCTATTTGTAATGTTTTGGTGTTGTTTTAGATGTTGATATTCTGTCTGACCTTAATTGATATAGGATACAAATCAATCACCCGTCAAAGAAGGCAGAGTTCCTGAGCACAATCACCTACTGCATTATTGTCATAAACCAATGGTAGCTCAAAAGCATTTAGGAGAGAAAACAAACTCTTCCAAAATTTTGCTTTGGTGTGCTGTTTCAAACTACTCATAAGACCTCAAAGCAAACATCATTTTAGCCAGATTTCATGCGTTTCAGTTCGTTGTTGAATTAAATTGGAAGTTTTTCAGGGTCTTAAATTTAGAAACAAATGCATTTCTGAAGGTTGGATGAACATACAAATATGCTTGCTGCTAATCTTACTAAGATATTTAGTAATCAGCACAGATCAATGACAAACTAAAGGTATTTACCAGCCTAAGCAAATGTTTCCAGAAAGTTTGCCTTGGCAAAGGTGTTTAATGACCCGTTTCCACTGAGTGGTACGGTATGGTATGGTGCAGTATGCTTATATGGTTGTTTCCACTGTCAAAAGGTACCAAAAAGCAAACCGTACCATACCACATTTGTACCCTTTTGGCTGTGGAAACTCAAGCCTGATAAAGGTGACCCATACAGTACCACTCAGTGGAAACAGGCCATAAAACTCCTCAAAACAAACTTTGTTTTTGTCAGATTTTTTTCAAAGTACATTGTTTAACTTTTAACCGAAAACAGAGATTTATGTGTTTTGGCCTCTTTGATGACACTTAGGTCCACAGAATATTTACTTAGTCTGATAAGGACAAAAGATGGTCTAGACCTGAGATCTTTTCAGACTGTGTACTGAACGCATCTCCATCAATCAGAAAATCAGTGGTCTCCTGAACTGACCTGCAGGCCTCAAAGTTCAGAGGTCTCATTATACAGATCACAACCTGCTATAACTCTCCTGAATTGGCTTCCAAACCAAACATCACAACAAGCCCAGTGTTTTACAGTGATTTATTCACAAGTTCAGACACTCTGATCTTGCATGCGTTCAGAAAGACGTTCACATTCTGCCACACTTTCAAACTCTACATGCGACGTTTCACATCTTTGATCCTGAGAACATTGTGTCACATCAATCTAGATGTATGGAATGAAGTGACACCAAGCATTTCGTAGCAGACTGTGTGCGTCACTGACACTGCAGAATCACAGTCGTTCCCTTCACTTCTTCTTCTGGCCTGCAAAGGCGTCAGTCCTTGTCTCACACTCTCACTGGGTTTGGGGAACCTGGCAGCTCGGCAAAAGTTATGCAAGACTTAATTCTCAACACCCACAACAAACAGTCACTATATACCAGCGGATACTTCACAAGACAGGAAGGGAAGCACTGACCTGGCCCATTTAAAGAATAGATTCTGTCCTGAAGCTTAAAGGCAGCTTCTTTTGACAATATGCCAAAATTGTTGGTGTGCCAAGAGAGATGCTGTCTTGTATGTTTGTGCATCTGCCTATTAGAAAAATATCTGTTCTGCCAAATACTAGAAATTCTCACATTGCACAACTTGTCTTGCCACATCAAACAATGCGAGACAGAGAACTGGATAAACATTGCATGATCAGACAAGATTATCATAAATTCATGCTCAGTTTTATATGCATACTTGTCAAGACATCCTACTGACACACATTAAGTCAATTATGTTTATTACAAAGCAACAAGAAATCTTTAGGCATGAAGGGTGATATATGGTATAAACAAGATAGATAATCAGGATGACCCAGAAATGTATACGTAATGTAATAAGAGGCAGATTAATAAGAGACCTACAAGTTCTAATGAATTAATATTTAAAACTGTAATAAAAAATGTATTCTGCAGTGATATTTACTTAAAAATACAGTAACTAGGCCGAAATCACAGAATAAAACTTGTCAAAACTTCAGGCAAGTCATAAAATTAGAAAGGATCATAAAAACATGAATATGTTTTATGCATACTTGTCAAGACATCTATTATGTCAATTTTGTTTATTACAGAGTAAGAAGAAACTGTTTTAATAATCAGGACAACCTAGAAAAGTACATTTTAAAATATTTAACAGGCTGATAAATTGAAGCAGCCATAAATTTACTTAAGTGTTCTGATAATTGCTTTAACAAACTATAGTAAATAATCTACTCTGCTGTGGTAACTAATTACTAAGTATACAAGGACTAAATTACTCAAATCAGAGATTAAAACTTGTTCAAACCCAACACAAATCATAAATATAATAATCCTGGTGTTTCACTTTAAACAATAAAATGAGAAAATATAAGATCTGTTTACTTCATGTCTAGCAAAGCATGTCAAGCCGAAGCAGACAGACGGTTTAAATGCCTAGCTTCATAACACACATACAGATGAGCCATGTGGCTTTTGGCAGCTCGCTTCAAAGGGAGAGCAGCACAATTTAATCCTGAAGGAAAGACCGAGAACGGCAGGTTGTCACAAAACTTCCTCGTACACATTAATCACGAAAAAGCCTGACAGAAATCGATCGATATGCCTCAAAACAAATGCGAGACGAGCGTGATCGCGCACCGTCATATTTAAATCCCCCCAACGCGCGTCACCAGCACTTTCTCATGACACCCTTGATTTACACCACAGAATACACCCGTGGCAAGGCAGCATTGACATACCAAACGTCCCCCATATGTTAAAGAGTCTATAATCCTCATACCTGCCGTGAAACCAGTCTTTACAGATGTCGCATTCGATCATAAACCGGTTAACATCATAAGGCTGCCGGCAGACACAGTATAGCGGGGCAGCCGCCATCTTCCTAATGTCCCTAAACAACGCTTAGCACTGTAGGGGAGGGATTAACGTCAGCGGAATCTCCCGAACGGGAAAAATAGGCGTAGCTAAGGCCAGCGGAAACTGCCGAAGGAAAATCCGACATCAGCGGCTTCCACTGCAGACATGCGCTCAATCACGAACGCTTGGATAAATGGAGCAAGCTCGAAGGCAAAATGTTGTTTTTTTACGAGACGAAAACACTAAGTAGACTATAGGTCATTGACCTACTAACGTGATGATGACGATGTAAAATCAATTGACACACAGAAAACTGCCTAAGTTTATTTTACAATATGTAAATCCAAACTCTAACATAATCTGTATTTATCTAGTATCTCATTTAACATTAGGATTTGGCCAATATAATTTATCAATTAGGGACGGTTTATTTATCATGATAAAGTCATCAAATGTAAAATAAAGCTGAATGAGAAAGTTGAACAGCTGAACAGGAGAGTTACATAAAGCTCTTGTGTGTTAATTCATAATCAGCGTTGTGCACGTGCACTACGTGATCTGCGGTGTTCTTGGACATGCGCACGCAGGAGCTCGGCTGAAGGAGGGAGGAGGGAGGGGCTACGCACAAAATACACTCAAATACACCCGTTCACACACACAAGTTAATATAACTGGGCAGGTTGTTTCTTTCAATGAGAAGCATTATAAATAAAATATTACAAATAATTATAATCAACACACACGTAGCACTATTACATTTAATAAAATACACTATGATTTTATAACACATCTAAAACATTAAATATAACTTTCATGTTTGTCAGAAATATACATAATAACAAAATAATATATTTATTACGTTTTTCACTTCAAACGATTTATTAGCATAGCGCTCCAAAAACTAAAACAACAACAACATATATACATATATTTTTAATATAGGCTAATAAATATAAAAACATTAAAGACCATTTATTGATAATTAGTATTCACATTTTGTAGCAGAATAATACATGTTGTTTACTATATTTACTTAATGAACAAAAATAAAGGAATGGGAAGATTTAATTTTATAAATAAAATAAAATTCTAAACACAATTGGATAAGTAGATTAAACTGACATTGAGCAATCAATGTTTTGTACATTAACACAATATTTATTTAACAAGTTGGATGTAATATATAACATTTAGCTGGTTCAACAACTGTTATCATATATTGATAAATCAATACAAACGGTATCCAAAAAAGAAACAGGAAATTCTTAAATATATCAATACATAGATATGTTTTATTATAAATTCATATCCTTAAGGGATTAATCATCTCATCGTTTGGGGTTTATGGAAAGGATTGCGTTCAAAAGAGTGATTTTCTTTATGTATAGCCTCAGATGGAGCTTCAGGGTTTTTACCTCAGCCTGGATATACTCAAAGTTTCAGCCTATGGTGCACAAAACTACATTTGACCTCTGGTAATTTCACTCATCATCACATTATAAAAAAAATGATATGAACAATTAGTCAAGACAGCATATGTTTTGTGTTCATTGTAACTAATTAAACTAAGTTCTAACTTAATTTTATAAGTTATGCAAGCAGTTTTAAGTCAGTTGAACATAATGTAACTTCAATAGACTCATACGATTAACTTGATTCAGCATAAACATTTAAGGCAACCAGGTTTCTTTACAGGGTAAGCTTTTAGACTTGTGCGCCATCTAGTGTTGCTCTGAAAGGCACAACGTTATTTTCTGATGATTATTTCTTTATTATTATTATACTCTCATTGGGGCCCCTCTAAAATAAAAATTCGAGTTTGCATGTACGTATTATGAACAAGTTTGCCTTACCTCATAAGACTTCAGAGAAAAAATAAATGCTAAAGGTGTGTGGTCTGTCAATGGTTCTATAGATTTACTGTATATTTAATAATGTAAATTATAATTAGTTCAATTAATTTTGCTATTGTATAAATAAATCTAAAATGAGCAATTAAAAGCATACAGTATCTCTTGTTGGAGCTATAGCTTAACCTTCACTTCATCAAGGAACTCCATGTTGTTTTGTTTTTACATGAGCAAACATTTAAACATCTATACATCTAAACCTTTTTGTTTTCTTAAAATCATAGTTCAGTGAAAATTTGTTGTTACTTTATTCAAGGTCAGACCATCTAGGATGAACATTGGGCTATTGTTTTTTTCAGTAGATCACTGAAGTTTTTAAAGGAGACTGTGATTTCTGGCGAGTTTTAATGTATTCAACAGCTACTGGTATACTTAAGCAGCAAATTAGCATTATTGTTTTATTATTTCTGAAGCATCATGTGGCACTAAAGACTGGATAAATGATCATTAAAATTCAGCTTTGACATATCAGGAATAAACTACATGTAAAAGTATAAAGCAATACCAAATAAATAAATAAATGGTTATATTTAATTATTATACAGTTTTAGTTGTAGATTAATAAATAAATGATTGGTGAGCTTAGACACTTCATAGATATAAATACACAGTTGAAAGCAAAACTATTAGTGCTCCTGTGAATTTTATTTTTCAAATATTTGCCAAGTGCTTTTTAACAAAGATATATTTTATTTCAACACTTTAAACAAAATTTAAAAATACATACATTCATAAAGAAGGCTATTAATATTGCAAAATCTCAAACATAAATTTTAAATCTGATTTTATTCTAGCCAAACTAAAAGAAATAAGACTTTCTACAGGGGACCAATTATTAGGAAGTACTGTAAAAAACATCACTTGGGAAATATAAAAAAGGGCTCACAAAGGGGCTAGTAATTTTGCCTACAACTATATATACAATAAACAAATTTTATTTAAAATCTTTAATGCAATACAGAGGATAAGTAATACAAGGACAGTGATTTTAATTTCATGCCAACAACTTCCACAATTTCCAGGAGAAAACTCTTTCCGCAAACACTAGATGTCGCTCTGTGTCTTGCTTTTCTTATTGGGAAGAAATATTTAGCGCTTTACATTCTTGCTCACACTGTTATTTCATGCAGTTTATCTGGGTGCACAGCATGTTTGTTTTTCTGGTCTTAAATATACATAAATATACAAATAAATAAACAAAATACACTACTTGACAAAATTTTGTCGTCTATCAAAGTTTTAGGAACAACAAATAACTTGACTTCTAGTTGATCATTTGGCATCAGAAGTGGCTGATATGAAAGGCAAATGATCATGCCTCGATTTTTAATTACTTAATTAGGACAGTAAGGTCTGACTTTGCTAAGACAAAACTCTTGTCATTTAACAGAAATAATGTACAGTATAGAATATAAAGTCATGGTGCAATGGTAAAAAAAATATTGTGTATGACCCCCATGAGTTTGGATGACTGCATCCATAGATCTCTGCAATGACTCAAATAACTTATTAACGAAGTCATCTAGAATGGCAAATAAAGCACAGGACTCCCAGAGTTCATCAAGATTCTATGGATTCATCTCCAATGCCTCCTTCTTGCCACAGACATGCTCATTGATTTTCTTCTTTAGTGACTAGGCTGGCCAGTCCTGGAGCACCTTGACCTTCCTTTCCTTTAACATTTAACATGTATCTGGGGGCTTTGTACATACACACTTTGATGTGGAGGCTGAGGTAGAGAAGGAGTGCTATCCTGCTGAAGAATTTTCCCCCCTGCTCTGGTTTGTAATATAATGGGCAGCACAAATGTCTTGATACCTCAGGCTGTTGATGTTGCAAACCATTATGCAGATCTCTTCTTTCCCCTCATCCTGAATGTAACCCCATATCTTTACCAAACTTGACTGATTTCTGAGAATCTTGTGTCCATGTGTATTTCAATAGGTCTTCTGCAGTATTTGTGATGATTAAGATGCAGTTTAACAGGTGATTCATTAGAAAAATCTACATTCGGCCACTTTTCCAAGTGATCTACTAGAAGTCAAGAAATTGTTTGTTGCTCTTATCACTGAGATCGATGGTAAGACTTTTGTCAGGTAGTGTACATATACCGCCAAAACCCTTCAACCTATTATATTTGTTAAAAATCCAACTAATAATGGCCATGTACACAATGTAGCTAAATTTAGCTTCAGTTTTTAATCCCATTCGATTCCTAACCCTGTTATTAACTACATAAACTGGATCAATTTCACAAGATCAAAGATGAGTAATTAGCGCAGCACAAAATGAAAGGACATGCAACACATTAATAGAGCACTCTGTGAAGCAGCCTTCAAAACATAAACAAAACAAAAACTTCTGTTAATGGTGGTTTAGCAAAAAACTTTGACCATAACATGTATTTGGGTACTTTGTAGTATTACTTTGCACAAATATAGCAAATTACAAACACAGCAGATACAAAAACTACACTTTTGGGAATGATTTGTGTTTCATACACACAATAAATGATAATTTAAAGGATTCACTGTGTATTTAAGTGTGAATGTAACAGCCGAGGCATTACAATTTTTGAATGTTAGATATTTATAGTGTCCATTTTAATTAGATCCTACATGGCCATGATAATGGCAAACAAACAGCAATGCCAATTCCCATCATGACAGCTTTTTTCTATATTGTCTTCCATTTCTATTTTAAGCCTTATGTTTTCCACACAGATGATTCACATATAGCAAGAGTACACAGAGTACAGACACCACATCACAAATCTGTGCTCTGACACAGTAGAGACTGAATAAAATATTTTGTTATAGTTTCAGAGAAAATTAAAGGCTAATAGAGATAGGTGTTTTAAAAAACTATTTAACTGTATATATATTTATATTTGTTAGGTATTTTATGGTGCTAGCAAGCTGGTTTCCAGTGAATGTAGAGTATAAAAAATTGCTCAAGTTGAATCAAATTAGCATTTCAATTTACGTCAATTAAACTGACTTAAAATGTCAAGTTAAAATTTGTATAACTTAATAAATTTGAAAATGTATTAAGTTAAGTTAAAGTAACATAAAAACATACATTGCTGTGACTTTTTGATCATATTTTTTAACAGTGAAC